AGTATGAGTGTTTCCTCAGAAAATACTGTACTGTACTTGTATGTATTGTTTGCTTGAGAATACAACAGAGAATAAACTGCCCAAATACCCTTAAACAAAGGAAAAGTATGTACAGTCGACCCCCTATAACACTGTTGATAATTCCGTTTTATATGAATTCCATGTTGTACGAGTTACTTAGATTTTACAAATACGTGAGCTGTTCACAGCCAGGCATGCGTATTTGTAAAACCTAAGTGACTCGTACAACGTGGAATTCATATAAAACGGAATTATCAACAGTGTTATAGGGGGGTTGACTGTACTTTATGAAGGCGTAGAGCCTTTACTACATGAAAATGAAAATTAATGAATACACAGTGTACAGTAATTTACCTGATTAGACAGATCTCAGAAAAATACTTTGAGACATAAAGCTGACTATAATGAAAATTAACTAGGGGTTTTTTCACCCTGCCAGGGTGTGGCTGAGTTATCCGGGCAGCCGGGTTATCGAGTACCGAGTTTTTGGCACTCTACTGTAATTGCATTTTACTTATTAGGTCTAGAGCTATGAGACAGTTTCTTTTTATTTTTTTGATGTATCTCGATCTTTTCCATTAAATCTTAAAATCTTGGCATTTTTTGTAATAACATTGATTTCTCATCCAATTTGCAATCTTGAAATTTGAGATTCTTTGATGAACATCTGATGCTTAAGATATATAGTGAAGTGTGTAGAAAATGTGTGCTAATAAGTAATTAGCAGTTAATTGTTTGTTATTTACACAAAATTCTCAGGTTTATTGTGCTGCTTATAACATTTGATATATAATATGTTAGAATAATTGATGCAAGTAAGCAGTTGACAAAATGAAAACATTTAAGTGTAATACAGGAATAATGTCTTTGAGTCTGTAATTCACTTAAAATGTGAAATTTTAACCTGAAATATTATTGCTTTTATATAAAATAAATGATTGGCTAACTTTCTAATTGATAAGATAAAAATTAAAAGTTAAATATTTTATTGTAAACATTGTTTAGATTCATGTTCAAGTCCAGTCTGGATATAGGCCTATGTGATTAATTATTGATAATTTAGAGATGAATTTTGACAGTACGATGTTTTTGGCTACAAAAACTGGAAGGTAATGCATTCCTTAAAATTAGGGAAGATGAATAGATAATGCAAGAATCTTTCTGGATTGTAATCATTAAAGAATAAAAGTATTGAGTACATTTTAGTAACCATGAAACAGCTCATCAGTGAACCACAAATTACTAAAATTGTGTTCCAATATTTATTTGAGTTTATTAGTGCAACGATTGATGCATATTATGTGTCAGGCTATAGATATGTTGAACTCTGATGAAGCAATACGGTCACCAGGGGCAGATGTGGGTTTTTCTGGGCCTAGGGCTTATTGAAGTCCAATGGGGCTCTATTTTTTGTTAGATTAAGAATCTTTAAAGTGGGGTTTAAAATCACTTTTAATAACATCAAAATCACAGAGTTGAACAAACAGAGTTGAAATATGTTTATGAAATGGTGTTTAATGACAAACTTTATATCTTATATAAAAACATAAAAAATATTTACATTGATTAATTACTGATCAATTGCAGTATATTACATTGATTACAATAAAACAAATAATGCTATCAATTATCATTATTATATTATTAATATTAACTATTTTTTACTATATGATAATTGCTCATTGTTAATGAGAAAGTATTAAAAATTTATGATAATTCAATTTTTGTGGGCCCTTGACACTTAGAGCCCAGGGCTTAAGGAGGAGGCACACATGCAGTGCGGCAAGGAAAAGTGGCAGAATGACGTCACTTTTACTCGCTGCAGAAGTCGATTTTGTGCCGCAAAAGTTGGTTGAATTCTATTTTTTGTGGCAATTGTCACCAACACACGTTTCTATTAGCTAATAACAGTTCATCTGGTGATTATGTGAAAAAATACAATCACATGGTGTTTTAATGGCGGAAAGTTCAACGCGATTAACCAAAATAACTAACATCAGAATAATGAAGAAAGGATGATAAATTTAACACAAATTCTACACAAATAATCATATATAATTTAATTCAAAAAACAAAACAATTGAATCTTACTCGAAATAGTATTCTTTATCGTATTTTGTACACCAGTTCTTTCTCCATCCAAGAAAATATCTCTAATCCAAATACTTCGTTCAATTCTTCGACAAAATCTTCTAGCTAAATAAAGCAGGCCATACAAAACAAAATTTGTAAACATGTAGATAACAGCAGTGTCGGTATCGTTCGCCATCTTGAATACTGAACGCAGGTGCCAAAATGTAAGTGGATTGCTGCTTGTGTGGTTGTGCTGCCACACGGCAAAGATGCGTTTGCAACACCGCTTTTCCTTGCCACGCCACATGTGTACATCCTCCTTTAAGCCCTATTAATCCCTATGTAGATTTGCCCTTTATAGTCATCCTCCATGGTTATATGAGGGCTATTTGGAAATATACATAAAATAAACATACATATCTTAGCTACTTCTTGACATCAGTTTTTCCAGAATTCAGAGTTGTAATGTGACACCATTTTCTGTATCCTCTCATCAAAGGAGTTTGCCACCTGGAGTTCAGCCATCCACAAATGCCATGAATTAGTTTGTCATTGGATTTGAATTGCTGCATCCCTAACCACATTTTTATTTTTGGGAACAAATTAAAGTCACTCAATGCAAGGTTGTGGGATCAAGCAACTGTTGGAGCAATGTCTGTGGGCATGCATTGTTGTGGACAAGACCCATGCCTAAGGACAACATGCAAGTTTTTTTAGTTTCACAACACACCTGCAAAGTAATGGTAATCCCAGGCTCCATAAAATCTGTCAGTAAAACTCCCTTACAAACCCAAAAAATTGTAGTCATGATATTCTTTGCTGGATAACAATTGCTCGAATTCCACAGAGACTGATGCATAGTGGAATGTATTCAATGTCATTGGCAAATTTGAATTATCTGCAAGATATAAACAACAGCTTCTGTCTCATCAAGAAATGCAATTTACCGTTGATTTATCATTTATCAGAAAAAAATTGAGAGAAGAACTGTCTGTTTTTAATATGATACAGTAGAACCTCGAAAACTCGACCTAATGTGGACCGAAGGGTGGCCGAGTTTGTCAAAATGCCGGGTTATCGGGAATGGGGTTAAAAAAAATAAGTATGAGTGTTTCCTCAGAAAATACTGTACTGTACTTGTATGTATTGTTTACTTGAGAATATAACAGAAAATAAACTGCCCAAATACCCTTAAACAAAGGAAAAGTATGTCCTTTATGAAGGCATAGAGCCTTTACTACATGAAAATGAAAATTAATGAATACACTGTGTACAGTAATTTACCTGATAAGACAGACCTCAGAAAAATACTTTATTAGAGCTTTTATACTTTTATAAAGCTGCTATAATGAAAATTAATTAACAAAGGATTTTTTTGCCCTGCCAGGGTGTGGCCGAGTTATCCGGAGTGCCGGGTTATCGAGAGCCGAGTTTTTGAGGTTTTACTGTAGTACCTTGTGTTAATAAGTTGATAATTACTTGTACAGTACATGTGTTTTTTTTAGCATTATTAGTTTCACATACGGTACATATTGTCATAAATGGTAAATAAATCATATTTGTATGGCACACACTCAGTAATTCAAACCAATTGTTATATGGTGGTGGTTGATAGCAATGTTATATATAAAGAAAAGAAAGTCAAAAAGGACTATACTCAAATGTATCTCTTAAAAATTTGTTTTAATATATCAAATATGTTGTTTATTCAAATGTGTAGTTAACAATCTTACACATTCTTTTAAAAAAGGACACCAAGTACTGTAGAGCTGTGTATCCACATGAGCACTTTCAGTGTGTGATTTGAACACTTTGCCTGCATGAGCTACAAAAAATGAGTGTGTAGGCCTATATCACAGGTAGATATGGGTTAGATACTTAAGCTGGTGTTTCCCTTTATGTGAATCAGACACATCCTATCAGTAACGAATAATATGTTTGGATGTCATTTTCTACAAAATGGTTTGGTAGATGAATACATCAACTGAGGAATTAATACTAAACCAAACTGTTGCTATAATTAATCAGAATATTTTATGCTACAATTATGAATTAGAAATTAGGTGCCATGTCTTATCAAAATTAATAATTATAATTATTAATTTTGATAGGAGTTTTTTACTTGATAATTTAGAACAATCTAGTAGAAAAGGATCTGCCTGGAATGGGAGTCAAACACACAACAAAAAATTAGTATTAATACAGCAGGCTTTGGTGTTTGGGATGTTTATATAGGAAAATTAATAGAAGAAATCTATAAACACCACAATTAACACCTAAATGCTACTTCCAGCACTGAATGAACAGAAAATTTGGAACACGCTGTATTCGAAGTTTTCAAATGATAGAACTGTGTTTTTTCTGTGTTTCATCCTGAAGAGGGCCTCTAAAAAACTGTCGAAAACATTCGAGCATTAAAATTTTCTGTTCATTCAGTGCTGGAAGTAGCATTTAGGTGTTAATTGTTGTGTTTTTTGTATAAGTTCCAGTTTACTTGTGATAGTTTTTTGTCTGATAGAAGAAATCTGCAATCTTCTGGAAATTTTTGATAAAAGAGATTAAAAAAATGATGATAAAATCAATTTTTTTTCCTACAAAGAATTGGTGTGTCATCATTGTCCATCTTTGATTTATTCTCCTTTTTTCCCACCAGATAGCATGTAAATGAAGTGAACTCACAGGCATGGCAAAAATCCTTCAAGTAGATTTCTATCTTAACTAATTGTGCATTTCAGAATGTATACTGAAAGCAAATATTTATTTTCATTTGTACTTGTATGTATTCTGTGTTGTGCAAGTACTAGAAATTTTTAGCTGAGGTTCTGTTTACTTATTGTGAAGAAATAATAAAATTTCTAAATTATGAAAAGTGATATTTATATGAAGTGTATTATTTATTTTTTCAGATGTATTCGGCAAATGCAAAAATTGTCAAGCCGCAGGGTGGTGATCCAGATAAAACTGAAAGCTTGATATCTCAGGTAAGCTAGAAACTCATTTCTTTTTAATATGGTTCAAATTAAAACTTTTTTGCATAGCAGTTTAAATTAAAATTATAGTGATTTAATTATGTCATCTCTATTATATGTAATTAATAGTGATTGATATATCCACATTCTTGGAATTTGCATTAATGCTATGCTCTTGTATTGTTAATAATGAATTTATATTTATATTGATATTAGAAGATTCACATTTGTAGATATAGAAATTTGATTTATTATTAACTGAATTTAATATGTAATACATCCCAATTTTTGAGAATAAAGAGATTAAGAAGAAACTAGAACTAGAGTGATCATTTCCAAAAAGGTATATGTGTGTATCAGTAGTCTACCTAACATATATGTATGTGTGTATACATACAGTCTCACGTGACTATATTCAGATACCTTTCTATCAAGTTGAGGTTTTTATAATTGTAAATGTGTGGGTTTGGTGTGAATTTTATTCACCCAAACCAAATATTTCCATCAGTGTTAATCTGTTCATAGTTCACAGCAGCATAGTGCTGCAGTGAGCTTTGTCACATTTGCTATCCTCTGCTTCATTGTATGTCGAACTATAGGTATGTCCTTCTGGTCTAGTGATGCAACTTCAAACTTGAACAATGTTTAACTTTTACATTTGATTCCAGTGTATTGCTATGCTGAGTTATTTACTGGCCAGAATTTGACAATAAATTGGATTAGGTCTTAACTCCAGCAATGGCCAGTCATCTTGAAACTCCACACTGCCTTTATAAAGTGAAAACTTACCTCTCTACAAAATGTATAAGGTCTGATCAAAAAGTATCCAATCTTTGCCAAAGAAAAAGCGTGTTTTAACTCTGCCATAATACCTTTCCAACTGAGCAGTTATTCCAGTGGTCTCCATTTGTGAAAGAAATTTTGGAAGTCACTTTTTGGGATTGTAATTAATGTAGTATACTGATAGAATTTAAAAAGAAATTTAATATATTGTTTATAAAATGTATTTCTCTTGTATTTAGTAATATAGTAGAATCTGTTTATTGTAATCAGAATTACAGATTTTTTTATCTTGGCCAGGCAATGGAAAAGTACTTGAACTTTATACAACTTTCAGAGTCCCAAGAGCCACTTTGGTAATTCATGGTGACTTTGTCACATATTTGACAATCTATTTTTTTTCACTAATTAGACTGATCCTGCTGTTGTGCATTTTTATAGCTTGGTCAATATTCATGGAATGAGTTGTACTATTTATCAGAATTAACACATCCCAAAACAAGTTTGAATGCTCTTTGTCACAAACATCTGCGTAAGGTTGCATAACAGCATAAGGGTGAAAACAGTAATTTATTATCAAAGGCCTCAGACTGCATATTAATTAAGAGCTCACAGGTCACATGCAAACCATGGGGTTTCATTACTGGTTTAAATCGTTTGCATTTTCTCTTTCAGTTACTTGATTGCTTTTTAAAGATAGTACTGCAAAAATCAGCAGGCAACACAGGATGAATTACTATTAATTAATGATAATTAATAAATCATAAATTTATAAGATTTTTTAATTGTTTTAATGTGTTCTTTTAGTGTCAGAAATCAGTGAAATCATAATTTCTGTTAATTGGTTTGTTAATGCAACATACTTAGTTAGGTAGATGTTATTGTTACAGGCAAGTCTCAAAGTGATTTACAATAAGCAGACTGCTGAAGTTAAAAAATTAGTTTACATTTCCATTTTGTAAAAGGTCAAAGATTTTTATTTAAGATGATGAGAAAAAAATGCTTAATTTTAGAAATAAAATAAAATTTTTTATTCAGTAACATTAACAGTTTCCAGAATTAAGCATTTTTTCTGCCCATATCTTTTTTTCGGATATGGTGCTAAGCATTATTTTTATTAATTTTATTTAAATGTATATTTGTATAGGAATACTTAAAAACTTAAGTTAAAATAAAAATATTTACTTTGCTGTTTGAAATTATTATTTACATTAGAATATACAATAATGGGATATGAATTTTAGGCACTTCTGGACTTGGAGATGAATAGCGATCTCAAAGCTCAATTACGAGAATTGGTAATAACTGGTGCTAAAGAAATAGATGTAAATGGAACGAAAGTAGGTAAAATTTATATCTTTACGTACGGACAAAGGATACGATTATCTCTAAATACATTAATATTCTTTCAGGCACTTATCATCTTTGTGCCAGTACCTCAGTTGAGAGCTTTTCAGAAAATTCAAACAAGACTCGTAAGAGAATTAGAAAAGAAATTTAGTGGAAAGCATGTTGTATTTATTGCACAAAGAAAAATACTGCAGAAACCCACTAGGAAAATGAAAGTAAAAAATAAGCAAAAAAGACCAAGAAGGTAAGAGATGGATTGATGTATTACAAATTTTATCATGCTATGTTAGTTTGATGCTGAAAATAAATAACTGAAAGATAATAAAATTACAAACTTTTTGACAATCTTGTGTAATGCTTTGTGAAAGTGGTTTTTTAAATGAATATTTTTTATTCACTGTTCTAAATGAATGTAATTTGTAACAAAAATATCTGTGGAACGATTAGAAATTTCTACAAAGCATTTAAGTAACTGTAAATGCTTAGTTTTACATTAAAATCAGCATCAAAACTGAAAAATTGGAATGTATACCTATCTGTTCCCCTTCTCTAATTTGCAGGCAATTTGCTGATCTGGTAGAAGAGTGTGTTAAGATGTTTTAGCTTAATAGATCAAACTTGAATCTTGCCTTGGCATTGGTTTTGAGATTTGATTGTCAAATTTTAATGGAAATTGTTATTTTGTGTGTCTAAAGCTATTTGCATGGCATTACACATTAATTAAATCGAAAAATTTCTGATAAATTTTAAATTGTTTTTTGTGACGGTTTTGCATTTCCACTGAAATGTCTTGAATAACCAAATAAATCCTCTTGTGCTTTAGCTATTTAAGACATTTTATAAACTTTTAAAATTTTAAAGGTTTGTTGAATTGAACATTGTTTGGATTGTTGGATTGCTTGAATAGTATAAAATAATTTAATGTAAATTATGTTATTGTCTGTTCCATTGAAATTGTGCCTAATTTAGCAAAAATTTCTTAAGTTCAGTTTAATTTTTAAAATTTTTGTCTAACTAATTTTCTGTTTTATTTTAGTCGTACTTTAACTGCTGTTCACGATGCAATATTGGAAGATTTGGTGTTTCCAGCAGAAATAGTCGGTAAGAGAATTCGCATTCGTCTAGATGGCACCAGATTAATTAAAGTACATCTTGACAAAAATCAACAGACCAACATAGAACACAAAGTAAGTGTTATTATTTATTGATAGAATACTTCTTTACTTTTTCTGTTGTATGGATGCTAATAGGGCCAATTTTCATGCCCATTATGGGTTCTGCCAGGTCCACAATGGGGGTGAGCCAAGCTAGTTATGAGGAACAAAATTTGATACATATGAAACAGATCACTCCTTGAAAAAGTCATGGGATTTGCTATTTAGATTCAATTTCAGGTCCTTTAAGGTGATAAAATATTTCAAATGAGCAAATTTAGTGTATAATAATTTGCATCGACGGTATTTGTTACTAAGTAAAGGAAGATCTGTAAATTTTTATCTAATGTAACATCTAAAAATAATAATATTTCCATGAGTGTCAAAGCTACGAATATAAAAAACATATAAATGCATTTAGCATAATTAAGCAAAATACTATCAAATATTATTTTTAAACTTGGGCATAAAGAGGGCCTTTACAAATTGTCATAAATTTAGTCAAGCCCACAGTGAAACAAGCTGATGATGAGGCCTGATCTAGCTGGGTCACAAATGACCTTTCAAAATTTGAGGATCTGAACTGAATTGGGATGGATCTCTAAGGTAGGTTGCCACTTTGAGTTTATGCATAAATGTTAAAAGGCCTTAAAATTGTTTTACACTTGTCATAAGACATTGTTGAACTAGTAGATAAATTCTGTTAGCTTTTATTGTTGAGACTGGTTCATACTTACTTTATGATAATGAAAAAGAGAAGATAAAACATAAATGTTTATTTTTATTATTTATGTATTTTACATAACAAATTACTCAAATATAGAGATTCAAAATTTGAATATTACTGTATTTACTTGCATAGAAGACCAGGTTTTTATTCATTTTTCACTGCTTCAAAAACCTAGGTTGTCCTATATGTGCAAGCAAAGGATTCTTTGCGTTTTTGCAATAATTTTTGTGAACTGTGTATTTGCATTTTCTACCAGATGCTCACCCTCTGGTGTTTAAAAACAAAAGTATTTTATCTGGGTTATTTGAATCATTCTTGTTTATTGTCAGAAGTAAAGATGAATAGCAATAGAAAAGCAAAACTTTTGAATTGAATTCCAAATTGAAATGCTAAAATCACATGGGAGCCCAATAAGTTTTAATCCATTCCCCCGTGAAAGCAGATGATTTTTCAGAAATCAGAATTTGGAGAAACTCGTAAGTGTAATCGACAGAAAGTGGATTTGACTGTTAAGAATTGGCAAAAAAGGTTTCCTTAAAGTTTAAAATTACTGGCATTTTAAACTTTAAGGAAAAATCTTGTAAATTATGTCTATTTTATAAGATTTTTCCTTAAAGTTTAAAATGCCAGCAATTTTTGCAGGACAATGTGAGGATTTACATGCATTTGATATTTTATTTGTGATTAAATGAAATAAAATTAGAATTGTATTAATAAATCTAATTTTCTTTATTTTGATCTTTAAAGTCACACCCCCTCTTATACATGATTAAATACTATAATTTAAAACTTGCATAAAATATTGAAACTACTTGAATTCTTCTCATAATTTATTTATAATACTCTTTCCTCAGAACTTTTAAAAGACATATACATGGATAATTTTAAAGATATTTATATTTATAANTATAAATATAAATATCTGTATATTTTTTTAAAGAATAATATAAGAATATGTTTAAATTTGAATTATTTAAAAGCTAGTTTCAGTATTTCATTTAATATAAATTCTATTTGACATTTTTAAAAGTGTTCTAATGCATTTTTTTCCCCTGTTACAGAAAGGCACATTTGCAGCTGTGTATAAGAAATTAACAGGAAAAGAAGTAACCTTTGAATTTCCTGAGCCACTGTTCTAATTTGTATTAATTATCAAATGTGGAAATAAAAAAAAATAATGTAAAAACCAACTTTGATCTCAATTGTTGCTTCTCGGATGTCACAGAATCGTGAGTTTTAAAATATTAAGGATTGATACGGTTCACATCCTGTCTTTAATATGGCTGGACAATAAGACACTTGATATTAAATACAAGTGAATCCGATTTGAATATCATGACTTTTTTTAAGCAGGAGTAGGCAAACCTTTCCAGATAGTGGCCAGGTAAGGGCTGTTTCACACTATGACTGATTGGTTCAACTCGACCGATCCTATAATCAGACCAACTAGTAGTAAAAGCATTCATACTGAGTGCGATTACATGTCGGTGGCCAACTCGTAAGGACCAATCGGAATGCTTGTTACATATCAAAACACTAGCCAATCATGGTAAGTTTTTCAATTTAAACAGAAAACATGGTTGTCATGGAAAGTGATCGTGCATTTCAAATTGTTCTAAAATATATTTCATTTGTATCCAGAAATTGTAGTTCTGAATACGCTACAATTTATCATCGGGCCATATCTTTGGCAACAATATCTATTGGAATGTTTTATAAACGGCACAGAGGTTATAGACAGTTAACGACTCTTTGATAAATGTTTTGATAGCAAATTTTTAAAATTTGTGAGAAAAAAGTACATAATGCTTTTAATAAGCTTAAACAAGTGTATCATTAACCTTTCAGCAGTGGGATAGTCAGGTATGGTGTTATCCCAAAGTAGTGGAGAATATACCTGGGAAGTTTTTGAAGTATTTTTTCACACGTTTTTCATTACCAATTCGGAAAAAGATTTTGTAAACAGTTATATCTAGTAAAGAAAAATCTTATTTTATTGTTACATAATTCATTTTTTATGTGAATTTTTTTGCGGTAGTTTTTGATCATACTCCAAAACAATTTGACGTATATATACATCCCTCACTGCTGAGTGGTTAATAACGATGTTGAAGGTGTTAAACACTTTATGACAAATAAAGAGAAGTACAACAATTTTGCTGACATATAAGAAGTTCAGCATAAAAAGAAAGCATTGGGTTTGTCCTATTTTATTCAAGTGAGAGGAAAAGGGTGAATTAGAATCTTGTAAGCAAATGCAGATATATGATAAATCGGGATACTATATGTATTTCAGGATCAGCCCAGAAAGGTAAGTTTTGACACTTTGCATTCCATGTTTTATTTATTTCAATCTTATTTTAATCTAATAAATCATTAGTGTATAGTTTGAGATACAAGTTTATATACAAACTACTCAAATGTAAAGATTGGGTAATTCTGCTAACTCAGAATATTTTGCTAAATGATTTAGTTCTATAATAATGCATTTTTATAAATGTTAGTTCATTTGCATAAACTATTGAAGAATGTTTTTCTAATGTTAAAATTTGTTTTTCTTTTTACATTGCACTCCAAAATTAATTTATATTCCAAAACAATCCACTTCAAAATTGAGAAACACTTATAATGTATTTAATTAAAACACATTTCATGCAAGCCAGATAAAGTTTCCATTAGAAAAAAAAACTAGAGAAATTCTTATTCTCTTTCAGATGAATGTCTAAAAATTTCATGAAAAATTAAATTTCTGTAATGTCAAAATTACATAACATGAAAATTGAACTTATGAATGACTTTCAATAATAATTGTATTTTTAGATTTGATGAATTGTTGAGCAAAATTGGCCCACTAATTACATGTAAAAATACAACTTACAGGAAAAGCATGTCACCTGCTGAACAACAACTTGCACTGACATTAAGGTTTGTATTAGGGTTTCTTTCCCGGGATTCCTGCTGTTTATTCCCTACGAGAAAAATCCCGGGAAATCTCGCATTTCAATAATGATTTATCACGTCGGGTTTTTTTTCTATTATTTATTATATGAAAAGTTACATCTTGAAGACTCACCTAAGAGAGAAATTTTGAGGTTTCATGCTGCATATGTTTTAGAAGTCTACTTGTTAGTTCATGTAATATCTATGTATTGTGTTTGCGCATCATTGAACAGCAGGGTACTCGCTGAAAGTAAATATCACTCATCGCACTTTAGTTTATTTTTTATTTCATCTTTAGAAATAAAATACTATTTTTTTTTGTAATCATTAAAACTCCCAATGAAACGCTTTATTTTATTTTCATCTTATAATGTAGGAGAACATAAATTAATTGAGCCTAACGTGTCCGTATGGGTGAGATTGGCCCTACACTTTTAGTTAGTTACTAGAAAATAAATTAAATTATTCAAATTTATGATATTCCTGTATGATCTTTTTTATTCATATAAAATTCTATTTTACTATCTCATCCTGGGAAAAGAAATTATTTTTTCCGTAATCCCGCTGGAGGCAAATTTCCCGGGAAATGAGAAACCCTAGTTTGTATCATTTAGGAGGCTTTACAATCAATTTTCAATTTCTATATAATTCCAAAACAAAGTATTTGTATATGTTATATTTATTTTAGCAAAATAAATTGTAACATATTTCTATTACCTGCAAAGCATATGCGAAGCAGGTTAATTAAAAGAGGAGTACCTCAAGCCAGTAGCATTTAATGCTACAGGTCAGAGGGAGTGCTCCACTAAATGTAATGTAATGTAAAAATATTTCTATAACTATAATTCTTATTTAACATGCTTAAAAAATAAAAGATGGATTAGATCTTACAAATAATACTGGTTAGTGCAATTTTTCTATATTACATTGCAAATAATTATAATTGCACTAACCAGTTAATCTGAAAAATCTTAATCTTTAAGAATCTAGATAATGTTGCCTGTAATGAAAATAGTATTTCAGATTTTCCTTATAGACATTATCATAAATTCTTCAGGCTGATTGAACTGCATATTAATTTTAAATGGTTTACTTTTTGTAAATTTTTATTAATTCAATTTTTTATTGGTTAACAAAACAGATTTCTTTCACATGGAGGAGAGCAACAACAGATATGTGCATTAAATTGTTGCATTGGTGTTTCAACAACACACAATATAGTGAAACAAGTGTGTGATGCAATATGGACTGTGCTTTCTGGTGTATATTTGAAGGTAAACATTGTATTTTTCATGAATTTTTAAAGAATATATCATCTAAAATAATAATGTTAAATTTGAAATTCCTGATAAAATTTTATTGAAATCAGCAAAAAGTTTAATATGTATTGCAACTTCCCCCAATGCTTAGGAGCAATAGATGGTAAACATGTTGTTATTCAGCAACCAAAACATTCTGGTACCTTCTATCATAATTACAAGGGTACAAATAGTATTATTTTAATGGCTGTGTTTGATGCTGAATACAGATTTACAATTGTTGACATAGGTGCACCCGGAATCTGTAGTGATGGAGGAGTGTTTAGTAATTCTGTATTTGGAAAATTAATCGAACAAAAAAAATTGGATTTTCCTGCATATGAAAAATTGGCAGGTACTGTACAGTACAAATATTAAGGTTCCATATTGTTTTGTGGAGATGAGGCATTTCCTCTCCTTCCAAATTTATTACGTCCTTACCTTGGTAAGAATCTACCACTTGAACGGGCAGTCTTCAATTATTGTTTGTCTCGTGCAAGACGCATTATTGAAAATACATTTGGGATTTTAGCAGCCAGGTGGTGCATATTTTAAAATATTATAAATGCTAATCCTGAAAATGTTATAAAATTTGTACAGGCAACAGTATGCCTACATAATTAACTCAGGACATGTGATATAAGATGTCTTTCCCAGGAAGGAGCTTATTGCACGAGTAATTATGTGGATTCCAAAGGATTTAATGGCCTAATGAAACAGAAACAAATGAAGCAATGACAGACATAACTACATGCTATTTTAAAAATAGTGGTGGTAGTGCAAAGAAAGTTCGTGAATTATATCAAGACTTATGAGTGAACAAGGTCAACTTCCTTTGCAGACTGANGGATTCCAAAGGATTTAATGGCCTAATGAAACAGAAACAAATGAAGCAATGACAGACATAACTACATGCTATTTTAAAAATAGTGGTGGTAGTGCAAAGAAAGTTCGTGAATTATATCAAGACTTATGAGTGAACAAGGTCAACTTCCTTTGCAGACTGAAGTTGTGACAAGATGATCAACTACAGAATTGTGTAAATAAATTATTCAAGTAAAAAACTGTAAAAACATAAAATAAAATTTTATTTACATATAAAAATAAACTTTTTTATTCCGATTCCTCTGCTTCTGCAAAGGCTTCTTCAATTTTTTTCCGTAAATTATTCCTTTTTTTTTTACATTTTATTTCGCGGAAACGTTCTGACAGTGACATGAAGTAGTAATAATCACTATCATGTTTAGTTTCCACTATGGGAGTATTTGTAGTTTTAAGTACGCATAAAAATTTCTTCTCCCAATTATTTTTTCTTTTCTTTTTGTTACATCCACCTGAAATTACAAATTATCATTTATAGAAAAAGAAAACTTGTAAAAAATGATAAAATTAAATTATATTTACTTACTTGAGCCACTTGAACTTGAAGTGCAAGCCTTTAGGCAGTCATCTATGTCATTGTTTTCTGTGGTTAAAATGGTATCTGGGCAGGACATTTCAAATGTTTTAGACTGTACATTTTCAAATTCTTTATTTGAGTCTTCTATAAAATTTAAAGTAAAATATACATTTAAAATTTTTAAGATAAATGCTGTGAACATGTAATATGCAAATAGTTAAAATATATCAATTTGTTTTAAATGCTTATAGGAGTCATACTGAGTAAAGCTATCTAATCAAATGGTAAATTTTTGTTATATTAATTTTTTCTTCAAAAAAAAAAAAAAAATACAGTGAACAAGTTATTCTCAACATAAATGGGCAGGATATGAAGAATGTTATTTCATATAAAATTGTTTCAATGTACAGTACTGTACATTTATGTATTTTATTAAACAAATCTATGTGTACTTTACTGCTTTAATTAGCAGATACACAGCAAAAACTTTAATATAAGTTAATATATAATTGATAAATTCTAGTTCTATAAAAATAATAAATTGATATCTTTCTTATGAGCAGTAATTAAGCTCAAAGTTAATTTTATATCATTTGTCTATGTATACATTTATTTCCTAAAACTAATTTTTACCATATTCTGTATGATATCATCTATTGTGGGATTATTAAATTTGTACTGTACTAAAACTATAGAATCAAACATTAATTTCTGAATATTGTCAATTAAAAGGATATATTTAAAACAAACCTGAATTATTTCCTGTATTTGCTTCTCCCAGATTTATGTGATTTGGGGAAGATTCCTTTTCCTCAACAAAATTACTTATTGTGCTTAATAAGTAAAATATTTGATAAAGTATTTTTTATTATAAAAATTGAATAAATAGATAATTATTGTATAAATAATCAAATAAGTTACTTTATTTGTTCAATGCCTGGACGCAGAAACGAGAGCATATTAAAATATGCCCATTGTTGTCTCTTGCGACCTCCAGAACCACTAGGAAGATTCTCCTCTTTATTTTTTCGTCTATATTGGTCGCGGATATTCTGCCACCTTTTCTTCACTAGTGATTCTGAAAAATATTTTACATTTACAATGTCATAACTTATTAGATATATCGCGTCATTATTAGATTATTAGATTAGTCAATCACGTACCTTCAACGTTTAGTTTCTTGGAAATCTCCCTCCAAGAATTATTTTTTTTAATGTTATCTTTATAATCGGCTCTCCGAATATCGTAAAGCCACGGATATGTTCTGACTTCGTTTATTAAACACTCCGAGAAATCCATAGTTTCCGCCATTTTCTAACTTCGACGTAGATTGGATAAATCTAAACTCTGATTGGTTATAACTTCGAAGCTCTCATTGGCTGTAGCTCACCGACTGCTCCGACCCGACTACAAATATTTAACTTTTCAAATCTGTCCGAATGGAACGACTAGTCGGTCGGCAGACTGCTGTTGCCATGGCAACACGACCTTGAGTCGGACCGGTCGGACCAGTCGGTCATAGTGTGAAACAGCCCTTAATCAACTAAGTTCGACTTTCCATCCCAATTTACGGACGGATACTTCGACAGCGTTCGAGATTCGTTCTTCCATTTCGATTAAAGCGCGTAGAACAACGGCAGTGACAAAATGACAACGAAACGTTAACCAGTGTTCTCGTGTTTAATTAAAGACTGTTTAAACGATTATAACCGGCCAAAGCGATCTATAATAGGCCTATACAGACTGTGTTTCAAGCGATGTTCTACTAGTAAAAGTTTCACTACAAAGTAACGGATATCGGTCACTAGAATGCACTAAACGTTGGTTGAAGTTTAACCAAAACCCGCATGGCAGTCGATACGTGTCCAAAGCAGAATTATAATTACTTTAACAATTAAAACTGTACACGTAATTTTCACAATTGAACCGCGCATAAATTTTTACATGAATAAAACTTGTTGCATTTCATATTAGGCTAACTGTTTAAAGATTCGATGTCGACCGAAGTTGAGCGCATCCACAAAATGAAGCTTTTTGCCGTTTTATAATAATATAAAAGTTTTTCAAACGATCCCTGGTAACAGATGGTATTACACACAATTTTAACTTTGTACTAATGTCTCACTGGTTATTTTTTTTCTTTGAAACTCGTTGCTGAAATTTTTACACGTTTATTACGATTTCAAATCTTACAAATCGAACCTATTTATATGTATTTCTGTTGTGGAACCGGCTATATGAACTTTCTGTGAGTTTGCAAAGTGTCGCTTCTTAACGCACCGATTTTGAACCGACATTCAAAAGTACATAAAACGTCTATTGACGGAAAGGACGGTCGATCCCAACCGAAGCATTTAAAAAGAGTAATCTACGGAGAATATTCTTTATTCAATTAATCATTCTTCTCTTATATTTTTGATTACTTGTAATTACATTTATAATAACGACGCTTTTGCAAAATCATTCTTATTTTTCAATAAATTTTGTACCTAGCTACTATATTTATTGATTAAAACTTGCGGCCAACCCAACGTAACTTTCGTAGAAGAATTTATACGGCACTTCGCGTAGATTATAAAATTATAAAAATATTGATAGTTCGAATAAGTAAAGTTATTTCGACGTAAAATGATAATATACACAGACGAAACGAAACAATTGTATGTACGGTAGTGGAAACGTTTACTTCTTTATATATCTTTTAGCACCCGGAATTTTGACGATAATCGTGATGACGTAGCGATAAATACCTCGTATTATTACTCATAGTCTGACGTAAGGCGGTATTAACCAAATACGCGACTTCGTTGGGTCGACGCCACGCAACGCGTGACTTATCTGCCCAGCGGGGACGCATCCTAGGGGACTTTTCTATAAAAATTGGTCCGTATTTAGGTTACACGAGGGTAAAAAATGCGAAAAATTTCAGTCGGTCAGCGCGGTCGAGGGATGGTTTTATTCGCTCGGCCACCGTCCATCCCGAGTACGTTGGACCGAAAAGTAATAGGGGCCCGTAATACGCTGTTTCAAATTTTTAAAATAACTAGCTTACTCTTCTTGTCATAGTATTCGAAGGGTGCTCCGTACGAGACTCACCCGCCAGTAAGTAAGTGTTGGTGAGTCTACAATGGGTGCGACGCCCG